ATTCACCACATCCATCCATCCATCCATCCATCTACTACATCCATCCATCCATCTATCCATCCATCCATCCATCTATCCATCCATCCATCCATTCACCCACCCCATCCATCCATCCATCCATCCATCCATCCATCCATCCATCCATTTATCCATCCCTCCCTCCATCCATTCACCCACCCATCCACCTCATCCATCCATCTACCCCATCCATTCACCCACCCCATCCATCCATCCATGCATCCATCCGTCCACCTACCCAACCAACAAATATTTCTCAAGTACCTAATATATGCCAGGCACTGGTCTGGGGACTGGGGCACAGCCGTGAACAACACAGTGTTTCTGCCCTTAGGTAACTGACATCTGGCACCACCAATCCACACATCATCTCTCTGTTTGTCCATCCATCCATCCATCCATCTGTCCATTCCCTTACTCATCTGTTCAACCAACGTTAATTGAGCACTGATTTTGTGCCAGGCCCCGATGAGGAACAAGCTGTGGCCCCTGCCCTCATGGAGCCCCAGGCTAGTTGGGCAGTCAGGCAGTTATAATCTCATGTGGTCAGTACCAGGATGGGGGGTACCCTAGGAGGTTGGGGAGGACTTTCTGGAAGAGGTAGCACTTCGCTGGCCTTGAAGGGTGTCCCCCAAAGCTTTACTCAGTCACCTAGGCCAAGTCGGCCTGGCCACTCTGACCACGACAGGCCCCAGGGTTCAGGCAAAAGGGCCAGGCCATCAGTGCTCACTGGTGTTGTCTGCCTGCAGAGTACCAACGTCCAGCCAGCCCGGGGCGGGCAGGGCAGGGAAGGCGCCAGCCACAACCCTATTATCGAGTCGAGTCAAATCCTGAGACCCACAGAGAGAAGGGAACTGGCCCAAGACCACACAGAGTGCAGGCCAGGGGTGAGGGGTTCCGGGCGGAGCAGGCGGGCAGCCGGGACCGGGCTGTGCTGGGGGCTCGATTCACAGCTGTAGACTGTCTACTCTTCTCATGGGGGCAGCGCCCACCCCAGCTGCAGTAATGGGAATCAGCTGCCGCCGCCTGCTGTGCCCCACTCCTGCTGTGGAGCCGGCTGCTCTGAGCTGCTAAGCCAATCCCTCTCCATTACCTCCCCTCCTGCCAGCATTGACTCTTCATCCAGAAGCTTCTGGGCTGGGGCCCTCACTGGGCCACCGTGGCCCTTAGGAAGCTCCAGGTACCCTGGCATCTAGGAGGCCCCCCACATCACTCTCCTCCCACGGCCTCCCAGCAGCCTTGAGGGCAGGCATTCTCACCTCTGCCTGTGAGGCCCCACTGCCCAGCTCCACCTTCCTGTCCCCACCTCGCAGTGGAGCTGAGGACCGTGCCTTCCGTCTCTGGGCTCTGCCGCTGGGTTGGAGAAGGCCTGTTCCCGGGACACTGAGCAGGACCGCCTCGGATGACTTCCTGCGAGTTAATGGGTCACTCATTACGTCTCCTGGATCTTCCCAGGAAAGAGACAACCCAGGGGAGGCCAGCCCCAAGGCCCCCAGGAGCCCATGGAGAAGGGGCTTCCAGAACCCGGTGGGACTGACTCCATCCACAGGAGGCCCCAGGCCAAGGCCCAGCAGGGAAGGGGGCCTGAGCTCAGATGGGGACACAGCACTGCCTCGGAGCCTGACAGGGAGGCAGAGTAGGGCCCCACGGGCAGCAGGCTGGCCCACTGTGGCCTCCCTGGTCATGTGGGTCCCATTTTCTCTGCCACTTCTCCACCCAGCCTCAGTGGGCAGGTCTCAAGCCATTCAGCCACCCGGCTGCCCAGGAGCCCCACACTGGGGCTGGTGGAGGGACCGTGCTGGGCAGAGGTCAGCTGCCCAGGAGGCTAGAGGGCCAGGCTGCCTGCTTGTCTGACCTACTGCCCACGAGCTCCTTATCAAATGGACGGTAACGTCATCCTCCTGTTATGGGTGGGGAAGCTGAGGCTCAAAGGAGGAAACTCCCAGGTCCAAGGTCTTAAAGCTGAGAAGTGGCCCCTCCGGAAGGCAAACAGTATGGTCCCTGGTACAGCCTCCACCCCCTCAGCCCCCTTTCTGAGGACCCTAAGGCCCCAAGGGGCTTCCTGGCAACTTGGTCAGCCATCCCCATCCCCTCCCCAGCTCCCCATTTCCTGTCCTGGGCCCAACATCTCCCCCTACCCCCGACGCTGTTTGGCCCAGTGGGTCCCTGGAGGCAGCCTTTGGGCCTAGGATGAGGGCAGGGGAGGGGAGTGCCTCAGGCTGGAGCTGAGCCTGGGGAAGGGGGTGGGGGAGGTCGGCCACCCCTCTAGAGTTTTCAGACCTCAAGGAGTCACCACGAAATTCCATTCTCCTGACAGCAAAGAGATTGAATCACTCTCGCCAAAGCTCATGGCCCCCACAAGAATGCTGTAAGGCTTCGTCCTGCTGTTCCCAGACGGGCAGCTGCTCCTGGGCCCCCCACTCCCACCCAGCCTGGCCGCACAGAGGTGCAGGAAACCCCTGCCGGGCTCCATGCCATGCCCCTGCCAGGCTGGGCAGTCCCTCTCTGGACAGCTGCTCCACCCCTCTGTGGGTACAACCCAACAGTCATTCTCCTCTGAGTCTCACCTTGCTTTCTGTACATTGGGCACATTGTTCCCACTGTCTAGTGTGTCGAAGGGCCACGTAGCCAGGGCTTTGTAGCACAAGTCAGAGAAAGCAAAGGTGCTCTGGAGCTCAGGGTAGGGAGTCCCACCCCCAGGGCTGGGGGCCACTGAAGGGCTGGCTCATGGGATCTTGTCAGGTGGTGGCAGAGGGTGCCATGACTGTATGCCACCCACCCTCCTGCCTCTTGCAGAATGCGCCGCACCTCGTGAGTACCACTAACGATGGATGCCACCAACCTGAATCCCAGGCTTCGGGCACAGCCCATGCAAAGATTTGGGGGCTCAACAGTGCTTGGGCTATGGGGGAATGGGGAGGGATTGCAGGGAGCAGCCAGAAAGAGGCTGGGACTAAGTCATGAGGTGCATGGACACGAGGCCAGGACTTGAACTCAGAAGCCAGGCGGAGCCCTGGAAGATTTTGATGTGTGTGCGCATGTGAGTGGGGTATGAGGAGAGCTGTCTGGTTGTGGAGTGGAGAATAAATAGAGCAGGTAGATTGGAGACAAGAAGACTAGGGTGGAGGCTGCCCAAGAGGTCCAGGGGAGAGATGAAGGCGGTGGAGGAGGCTCTGGCTCAAAATAGCCCAGATATGGGATAGATAGGAGTTGGTGGTTGCGTGAGGGACATGGGAGCACAGAGACCCTTCAGACCTGAGCTGGGGCTGGGCTGGGGCTCAGCTGACTGTTTGGGGGTGACCTACCCAGCTATCGGATCCTTGTCTCTCCTGCCCAACCCCTCCTCTCCAGCTGCCTGGAGGCTCCAAGGCTGGGCTCTGGCTGATGGGGGAGGGGTTTATGGCAGGAGGTGACACCACGGGAGACTTGTCACTTGGGCACAGCCAGCACCATCTGCTCAGGCATCTGCCCGCCTGAGGTGGCGCCTGCTAATTACCTGAGAGGGGGGTGGGACAGGAAGAGGCCTGGGAACTCCCATCCCCTACCCCACCCATCACAGAGGGGCTAGGGGTAGGGCCCCAGGGCCCAAAGAGCAAATGGGCCACAGCCCCCTGGGCCGGAGTCTGGTGTGTGTGGGGGGGTGTCCATAAATCTTTGTAGAGCACCTACCATGTTCCAGGCCCTGTTCTCCTGCAGGTGACATTCAGGTGGAGGGAGAGGGACCATGAAGGGGAGTGTGAACAGCTAAAAGTGTCATTGCAGGCAGAGTGGTAAGCGCTGTGAAGATAACTGGCTAGTGGGCAGAGTGAAGCGCTATGGGGGGCCCAGAGGAGCGGTGGTGGTGGCAGAGGGCCTCCTAGGAGGGGATACCAGCAGAGCCCGACGGGAAGGAGGCCCAGCCAAGCGGAGAGCCACCCCCGGCTGCGCTTCCGGAAGATGCTGCGGGCAGGGGACCCTGATCCCGCGCCAGGAGGAGGGTGGTCCTTGGCCACTTCCGGGCCTCTCGCCCTTACCCTCGACCCGAGCTGCAGGCGCGCATTCCTGCCTTCCCTGCTCGTGTGGTGGGCCGGGCCGGCCCGTGGGAAGGGCCGGGGGTGGGGGCCGCCGTGTGCCGGGGAGGCGGGGCGGGGCACAGCTGGGCCACATCTGGCCCGAGCGCAGAGGGACCAAATGGGACAGAAGGCAACCTTTCATCGCGCGCGCGGGGAGGGGCGACCTCAGTTTCTTCTCGCTACGGGGCGCCTGGAGGATTTCGGGGGACCAACCCCGCGACGTTGGGCCTGGACTTGAGGAAATTAGCTAGGGGCTGGAGGTGGAATTTGATACAGGTGCTTTCTCGCTGGAACCTCGTGTCCCTATCTGTGACTCCTCCTTGATGTTAAGAACCGCTGCCCTTGACCGCGCTCATGTCCACCCAGGCGCCGTCCCAGTTGCTTGGCCAGCACCATCGCAAGGGGAGGAAGCCGGGCTCGGGGAGGGGAAGTGCACAGCGAGGAAATAAGGACGTCCCCTGTGGGACGACTGAGCCTGAAGCCCCTGTCCCAGAATCCCGGTCACCGCCCCGAGGGCGCGCCCCTCCGCGTGCCAGACGCCGCAGTGCAGCCCCCGCCGGCGCTAGCCAGCCTGGGTTTCCCCTTCAGGGCCACCAGGGCGGGCCGGGCCCAAAGCCCCACGCCCCTCGACTGCCTGCTGGGGGCGACAGGGGCGGGGCGTGCACGTGCGCAAAGGGGGCGGAGGCCGCGGCGCCCGCGGGGCAGTTCCCAGACCCCCGCCGCGGCCCCACGTGGGCGCTGCCGGGCCTGAGGGGCGACCCGCGCGAGACCCCGCCCCAGGGCCCGGGAGCCAGTCAGCGCGCGGCGAGGGCCGAGCCTCGCGAAGGGCCCCGCCTCCTGGGGGGCGGAACCTGGGCAGGGAGATATAAGAGCTCGGGGCACAGGCGGGACACAGCTGCACTCGCCGCCGGACCTGGGGTCCTTGGCGCGGGTGTGCGGGGCAGGGCGCACCGCGCGGCCGCCACACCACCATGCTCAAGCGCTGCGGCAGACGCCTGCTGCTGGCGCTGGCGGGCGCACTGCTCGCCTGCCTCCTGGTGCTCACCGCCGACCCACCGCCGCCCCCGGTGC